TTTAATTATTGGTCCTGGTTGAACTTAGTGGGAAAAATCTTAGCCATTAGAAATTAAGGGTAAGGTTGAGGAGATCTGGTGGGAGGAGACGATTAGTTCTTGAAGACATGAATATACACTCAAACGCAAAAAACCCGGTACACTAAAAATTTGGGAAAAAATTACAAAATTTCAAATGATCATAACTTGGTAAATAATGAAGATACAAATATGCGCAGAAATGCAAAATGAAGCTTGAAACGTCCTCTTTAAGAATATCTGAATGGCAATTATGCTCGGCCATTTTTTTCAAAATGGCGGATGATAAAGTGAGAGGATGCAAAATTGATAAACAAAGGTCCGTGTTTGCGATGGTGCATGGTGTGCATCAGGTATCGCAGCGTAATGGGACCAAATGCACATGAAAGTATAGAGTGTTATCTTTAAAATGCTACTTTACCGAGCTCGATGTGATCATTTTTCACTGAGATGTTCCAAATTTTGCTAAAAATGCGGTTTTCTTGTTAAATTTGCATAATTCAGTGAATAAGTATCGCATCAAGCTCTATAACGAAGTATTTTAAAGAAAACATTCTATACTTTTAGGTACTTTTCGTCCCATTGAGCTGCGACACTTACTTTGCTCCATGCGCCGTCGCACGCTCGAACCTTTTTTAGCAACTTTTCATGTTCCCCTTTTTATCACCCGCCATTTTGAAAAAATATCGTTGCGCACAATTTCGATAGATCTTTCGAAAATCTTACGGTTTCAAAGCTTTCAAACCGTTTTTGAAATTTGCTGCTAGGATATTTAGGTGTCGAGATATTCAATTTCGAATTTGCAACAAATGTCGATTCAGCGAGGCTTAAGGGGCTAAGAGGCTCTGCGGTTTGTTTGGCTCTTTCATAATTTCAATAGCTGTGTTCATGTTTCTCTATACAATAATTTACACAATTTTGCGAATTGGAAATTTAATTTTTATCAAAAGTTATCGTTCTTTACCCTTCAGTTACGCATGATCACTGTGGTATACACTTTAGTTCGCGAAGCTGTCCCTAGCTCTCTACCTTCTCCGTACGATTGGCCATTATGGTACACAGCTTGAATATGCTGTTCAGGATCGCGCCTGAGTTCGCGGTGACCCGGCGCGCGGGATGCCGAGTCGCTGGACGCCACCTGAACGTCGAAATTCCCTGGCGCTCCTAGTCCACGGAGCCGCCGCGACGCGGCGATCTGGGTTGTCGCGCGCGCGAGCCCCTCGGCTCGCACGCGAGTTCGAGCTGCCCAGGGCATATAAGAGTGCCCGCGGAGACGATCAGAGATTGCCTTCGTACAGCTTTTGGCCTTCGTACGGTCCACCGCCGATAGTGGCACTATCTCTTGTACGCTGGACTTCGCGAGCTTGTCAGTACGCCGGGCTTACGTTCTGGCTTGACTGAGATTCTGTCGGTGCGCCGGGCTTTAACGCCTGGCTTGACTGGATTTTTCTTAAATGTATGTGCCAAGACAATAAACAAAGACAAACAATTTTCCTTTTCCGAACGTTTTCACTCCGATAAGCGCTGCCTCGTGCGACTTTTCTTTTTCCGTGATCTTTTCCTTTCGAGGCGCGTTGCTTCGTGCAACTTCATCAATTTAAACCATAATTGATTGTTTCGCATCGAAATTATTGCGTCGATTATGGCGACGATAAATCCTGAAAAGGCTGCTCAAGTTATTGCTTTAATTGAAGATGGCAGAAGTCGAAGGTACGTTGCTCAGGCACTTGATTCCTCAGTATCAACTGTGCAACGTGCTTATGCCAGGTACTTACAAACCAATTCTTTCCATTGAAGGCCTGGTTCGGGACGTCCTCGATGTACCAATCACAATGATGACTGATTTATTGTTTCAAATTCGTTAAGAGACAGACATCGAACATCTGTTCAAATTAGAAACAATTTAAGGGATGTCCGCAACATTAATGTATCCGTTAACACCGTTCGGAGAAGATTAAAGGAACAAAATCTGCTTTCGCGCAGGCCAGCAGCTGTACCTTTGCTTAAATGTCACCATCGCGTAGCTCGACTCAATTTTGCAGTTGAGCATAGAGACTGGACTTACGCAGACTGGAGCAAAGTACTCTTTAGCGATGAATCTCGTTTTTGTGTCTATTCTCCAGATGGACGAGAACGAGTTTATCGTCGCGGTGGAGAACGATTTGCAGATTGTACGGTAAGTGAGAGGCATAGCTACAATGGAGGCTCTGTAATGATTTGGGCAGGAATTTCAGCTAATGCTCATACAGATCTGCACCTTTTTGACAAGAATATGAACGCAGATGTATACGTGGAAGACATACTCATTTCGTATGTTGTTCCGTACGCACCCTTCATCGGAGAGAACTTCTTGTTTATGCAAGACAATGCTCGACCACACACTGCGAGAAGAGTGCTTGATTTCTTCGATGAAGTTGGCATAAATCGACTCGATTGGCCAGCAAATAGTCCAGATTTAAATCCAATCGAACACTTATGGGACAACCTCGGCAGGAAAGTACGAAATCACGTACCTGCTCCTCAGTCACTGCGGGAACTGCGAATAATTCTCGAAAACGAATGGAATACAATTACGCAGGATGAAATTAAAAGACTAATAAGGAGTATGCCTGATCGTATGAATGAGGTAATACGCGCACGAGGCAGTCATACCCATTATTAGTACACACACACCACACACACAGCAGAGAGGGTTTGGAGTCATTAATTACTGCAGGAGTGACGAACTGCGGGGTCCTTATCTCTGCTGTAACACCACACACACACACACACACACACACACACACAACACACCACAAGGAGGGTGTGAAATCTTGAAATACTGTGGAGCTGACGAACCACGGAGTCCTTATCCTTGTGGTATACAAACACACACACACACACTACATACAATGGGACTTTTCCTACCAGTAAGACTCCATGCGGTTTATATTGGGAAGACTTACAACCATAATTTGAGCTAATGACAGCGGTATCTTAAAACGCAATTCATCTTTATTACGTAATATCGATTACGCAAAATGAAGAACCTAAATTGAATTTTACTTTCATTTCCCTGGCTTTCAAAATAATAAATGCAAATCATTGAATATATTGTGCAGGTTATATAAATTATTATATAGAGAAACATGAACACAGCTATTGAAATTATGAAAGAGCCAAACGAACCGCAGAGCCTCTTAGCACCTTAAGCCTCGCTGAATCGACATTTGTTGCAAATTCGAAATTGAATATCTCGACACCTAAATATCCTAGCAGCAAATTTCAAAAACGGTTTGAAAGCTTTGAAACCGTACTTTGCGAAAGATCTATCGAAATTGTGCGCAACGATATTTTTTCAAAATGGCGGGTGATAAAAAGGAGAACATGAAAAGTTGCTAAAAAAAGGTTCGAGCGTGCGACGGCGCATGGAGCAAAGTAAGTGTCGCAGCTCAATGGGACGAAAAGTACCTAAAAGTATAGAATGTTTTCTTTAAAATACTTCGTTATAGAGCTTGATGCGATACTTATTCACTGAATTATGCAAATTTAACAAGAAAACCGCATTTTTAGCAAAATTTGGAACAACTCAGTGAAAAATGATCACATCGAGCTCGGTAAAGTAGCATTTTAAAGATAACACTCTATACTTTCATGTGCATTTGGTCCCATTACGCTGCGATACCTGATGCACACCATGCACCATCGCAAACACGGACCTTTGATTATCAATTTTGCATCCTCTCACTTTATCATCCGCCATTTTGAAAAAAATGGCCGAGCATAATTGCCATTCAGATATTCTTAAAGAGGACGTTTCAAGCTTCATTTTGCATTTCTGCGCATATTTGTATCTTCATTATTTACCAAGTTATGATCATTTGAAATTTTGTAATTTTTTCCCAAATTTTTAGTGTACCGGGTTTTTTGCGTTTGAGTGTAGATGGAATAAGGGGTGGAGCGTAGATGTCTCATAGTTTTGGGCGGATTGGTTATAATTGGCCGAATGAGTTAGATATGAAAAGTGTGGTGGTGGTAGATTCTTGTGGGGTATGCGCAAGAAGATTTTTTAAAAGATAGGGAGATACGTACAAATGGGAACCATATGTTTTGGTCAGCTGGGGAAGTCAGGATGTCGTAAAGCATAGGTTGAGATAAAATTTTATGATGCCCGGTGAAGAGATGGTGGCAGGTCATACTTTAATTATTTGACTGGTAGGGTACATATGTATTCAGACTAGAAGGATGTAGGTTTCAAGGTTTTTAGAGTAGGAATGTTTCGAGTTGCTTTGTTTTATTGGAGATTTGTTAGCACAGAGTTTCACATTTTATAAATAGAGCGACGGACATATTGGTGAACATTCCCAGATATAAGATTTTCACAACAGGGCACTGCTTCCTGTTATTAAATTTTTCCGAATCGCCTTTGATTTGGGGCGGCTGTTCGCCAGATGTGTCTGTGTCTTATGTCCATTATTATATTAAAAGAATAGAAGTTCGAGGAAAAAAAAATTTTTAATTGGCCGGAGTCCACAACAATACACTCTCTCTAATACAATGTGTTACAGGTACAACTTACAATAGAAAATTTTTATCGGCAACCACAATCTGGAATACATTGTAACTACCTAACTTATGCGTTATATTTCACTTAAATTACATTTCTTGCATTTGCTGCAATATATTATAAGCTGAGTATGATGTCTTGAGCAACTGCAACAAGAATGTCCGACCATTTTAACATTATTTTAAGATCATAATAATAGGTAATTCTAATACTGCGTGTGTGTTTGCTATCAGTTTTTCCGTATGCAAAATAGAATAATAAGCAGTACACCATGACATAAAAACCGCTATTATATTATAACTGACCGCTATTAGACTGAAGCAGCAAACATGTCATACTAACGTTCATGAAAGAGTCGAGATTCATTGTGAGAATATATGCGCTGGAAAATTCGATCGGCACTAGTGAACGATTCATCGCTATTAACATGCCCTCTTTTATATTTTTATCCAACGACAACCATCCCATTTCGAAGATCTTAGGTGACAGTTGAACGCTCTAAATCAAAAGAAACATAAGTTGAGAAATATTTTTTAAACAAAATTATTTTTATTCAGTAACAATGCAATTAACTGATAAGCATTAATAAAATATATGTTGTATTAAGAGAATGGATTCGAAATTTGGTATTTTGTGCATGAAAAGTACGCAACTGATTTTGTTTCAATATATTTTAATATATTTCAATATACAATATGCTTCAATATATTTTTAGTACCAGAGAAATACGCGCGTGATTCTCACTTTTAGTTTAACTTCGTTTCCGTACCAGCAGTAGATGAGAATTTGCGTCAGCATAGAGCATGTGTATAATATCAATGGAAATGACTGCACATTCAACGTGATCTTTGCCAATTGATATAAATTAGAACATACTACTAAAGTGCTCACAATGAATTGTATGGCAATGATTACTTTGAATTTTTTGTTCATTAAAAGCGCAAACCTACGTACAAGGAACATCTTAAGACTATCGTTAATGACAGATTAAAACTATGAAAAATTATTGTCATTGCAAAGAGAGATTTCATTTCTTCCCTCCTCCCCCTTCTCTCTCTCTCTTTCCCTCTTTTTCTTTCTCGACTTACGATTTGCGTAATTACTTGAAAAAACTAACTTAAATATGATTAAATATGATCGTGCTGACGTACACATTCACGAAAACTGCTACGTCCGAGCGAAATTTTTTTCAGGCGACATTCTAGTATTTCAAGTTGGCAGCAAACGTGTAACAATAAGCCACATATTAGACTGTCGCAGGCTACGTTCACCATAGAACCTAACGTCGAACTTACTAATTGACAAGCATATATCGTGCAAAATACGATCCTGGACGAGTAATTATATGGTGTCCATTCCCTGTATGTTAAGTTACCTTTCCGGAAATCTGTAAATAACGACGTCACTGCGATACAAGCGCACGTCATCTCGACCAGGATCGTGTAATACAAAGTACTGTTTCTGCAAAATAAGTGCGCAGTTTGTTATAGACATTTTATCTACTATTATCAGAAAAATATCAAGTATTAAAATATCCGTATTATTTTAGAAGAAAATTTTGTACATGAGTATATAATATTTTATCTTTGTATCTATTTATATTTTAGATGAAGTATGCTTTCTTCAAGTAAATTTTCACTTGTTAGAAAAATGAATTTTTCAGTGTGAGTTTACTTTAAAAAATTTAGAGAGTTTACGAGTGCTTACTGTATCGTTCGGTCGTATTTGCATCTAATCTGCATCTCGTCGGTTTCCAGAGGGATGAACGGTTTCTCAGAAAGTATATCGGTAAACGTTTCTATGTTCTTGCGATTAATCAAGAGTCCGGTCATTTTACAACAGGAAATGACTATAGCGAGCATGATGTAAAAGGTATCTGCGAACTCGTCGGGATTATTGACGTTTAAAATGATGTCCATCAATTGAGATAACATGAATGTGTATAACAGTAAAATCACGAAAACCGTATACGCGTTATATATGGTGCGTTTATGAAACGACGTTCGAGAATCTGGCGACCAGCAACCAACGATCATAAGAATTTTTAATGTAAGTCGCAACACTTGTGTCTTTTGAGTTTTTAATTCCATTTCTCTCCTTTTTAATTTCATGATTATTTTCCTTGCCTCGTGCAATTTGTATGACTACGTATTTAACATGTATTCTCTTTCTCCGTTATCAATATTACCATTCACAAAAGCTAATAATTTTTTTCATAAAATACATATAGTATTGATGAATAATTGTTAATTGTTACGATTATCATGATATCTCAATTGTATAAATTTATTTCAAATTCTATGTACATATAATATAAAATACAAAGAATATATAGGTGCATGTGTAATAATATAGGCAAAATTCGTAATAAAAAGTATGTAGTATATCCAATGAAAAAATAATATCGAATTCTGTCATATGCTACATACGTACCGATTCGTCTGCAGTTATTTCTTCGTCAACAACATCTTGAAACATGATTTCGCAAAACTCTGTTAAGCCATGTATTATCTATAGCCATATGGTGTGATTCTCTGGTAGCAACATTGTTAGCCTAGCTTCCCCCTCGAGCGCAACAGCTATGCAATTATTATAATACGAAACTCACAATGTCGCGTCCCCTATATAATGATTTTTTTATGCAGCGACATATGTGATAGTCTCTAAATGAAAACTTTATGGAATGGTACATTTGAACGAAGCAGTAAAAATGCGGAAAAATAAAATCAGACATATCATAAACTTTGAATTGTATTTTTCAAGCATTCAGTCTTGATGAGAGCCAATCTTACCAGAAAGATATTATTGACAATAATAAAATGACCAGTGGTAAATCATTAAAATAGTTCTATTATGCGTACGAGTAATAAAATTACTGAGCATCAATGATTTATCATTGACTACTTTATTATTGCCAGTAATACTTTTCTGCTAGGGAATAAGTTTGTTAATAAATATTTAGTCTTTCACTATCACCAGCTCTACTACTGTTTGCCACAAATTCTCAGTTAACTTTATTTGGCTTATTGTTAGTTAATCCCACTCTCAGCATTGATTGGAATAGTCATAATTTCTAAGAAAAGTAGACAGTTTAAAAAAAATTTCTTAAATCTAATAGGCATTATGTCATCTTAATTAACTAACTCATTAGTTAAATCAATTGCTCGAATTCTTTTAAATATTTGCTATTTATTCATTTAAACATACCTCAGATTTACACTGAATGTGATACATTTCATAAGTATCAACTAATATTGGAAAATTTCGCAGAAATTCATCTCTAATTTTTCATTCTTTTTCTAATTACTTCTTACTTACGTCGTCTGCACCTGTTTTAGTAAATTATAAGCTGAGTATGATGTCTTAAGTATCTATAACAAATATATATGTATCATTATATACATACAATCTTTGTACAATACATTGCATGATCTTCATAAGTATTCAAGCTAAATTAAAAAATTACGCGTAAAAGAATAACAGTTTCATTTTCTTACTAACCCCTACGAAAGAATCGATATTCATGGAAAGAACGTAAGCGCTAGTGAATTCTATTGGTATCATTGCACGATTCATAATAATTAACAAACTTTTCTTGAAATTCCTATCCAGTGCTAACCAATCCATTGCGAAAATGCTATATAATAGTTGAGTACTCTGTATTTAAGCGTCGTAAAATATCTCATTAGTTCTTCAGTCTTTTCTGCTTAAACATGCGATTTGATTAAAAAAAATTAGACATGAATGTTCGACATGTGCTAACCTTTATCTTTACTTCATTCCCATACCAACAATAAATAAAAATCTGTGTCAACATGCAGGACATATACAGTAGTAACGGCAGAATCGCACTGAATGATATTGTTTTTGTCATTTGGTACAAATTGGAGCAGACAACCATTGTACTTACTACGAATTGCATAGCAATAGTCATTCTGAATTCGCTGTTCAATCTTAAGGCATACCTATAGGAAAATAAACAAAGACAATGATATTACTTTCTATAGTCATTATTCTGGTTAAATTAGTTATGGGAATCGATGAGCATTCATTTTCCCGGGAAATTGAAGAAAACATTGGAAAACCATAGATATAAAGCGATACATAAGTTAATTAAGTCGTCTATATACAGGGTATTCCATTTTAAAAAACGCATCTCGATAATTCTTCAACAAAGCATTTTCAGCAAAAATGTTTCGGACAAAAGTCGTATGATTTCAAGAGGGACATAAAACAACTATACCATTTTGTTTACAAATGGCACCACTTTCGAGATATTCACTGATCATTACTTTTCTTAAATGGAAGCCATAATTTCTTATTACACCGTCTTTTACTACCAATTAATTTAAACAACTTTAGTCTGACAAGGGGAGGACGCATCGATCAGGAAACGGTTTGGAACGAAACTTACGAAGTTAATAGTATTTGACTACTAATAACTTATGGTAATAGCATACGATGCAATACCTCTTCGCTTTTGTGAAAAAACGAAAAGTCTAAAGAAAAGAGCTAACAAAGTGTACGAGTAAGTAAGAAGGGTATTCAACGAAGCGGCGTAGCGCAGCAGCGAAGGTAACGGCCTACCGAGCTGACGGCTGAGGTTCGATCCCTGCTGTATGGTTTTTTATTCTATAAACATAAAAATGAAACAGAAAACATTAATAAATAATAAAACTGCGTTTCCTAAACATATTAGTGTTTGTTAAATATATTATTAATGATTTAAATTGCAAAAAATTCGTAAAGTTTATCTATAAAATATATAGTGTATGAGAAAATTTGTATATAATAATTACAATGAAAATAGGGGTAAAAATATATTATATTTTCTCTAGAGGATTTTTTGATAATGATTTATTACTCTCGTAAATATTAGGCAACTAAGTTCTCGCTGTTTTTTTGATGAAAATGCAACTTTATTGTGAAAAAATGGTTACAAATGAATCATTCAAAATATTGCCCATCGCTAGCGACAACTTTTTCCCATCTTTCTGGCAAAGCTCGAATACCGTCACGGTAGAAGTGTTCGTCTTTTGAGGCTATCCACGAATCAAGCCATTTTGAGATGTCTTCATATGAGCGGAACTGCTGATTAGCCAGACCATCGAACGGAACAAGTAATAATCGGACGGCGCAATATCTGGGGAATATGGCGGGTGTGGTAGGACTTCCCATTTGAGCGTTTCTAAGTAGGTTTTAACAGGTTTGGCAACGTGAGGCCGAGCGTTGTCATGCTGTAGAATCACTTTTTCGTGCCTCTGCTCGTATTGTGGCCGCTTTTCGCGCAGTGCTCGGATCAATCGCATCAATTGAGTTCGATACCGTTCCCCAGTGATGGTTTCGTTCGGTTTCAACAGCTCATAATAAATAACACCGCCCTGGTCCCACCAAATACACAGCAAAACCTTCGCAGCGTGAATATTCGGTGAGCCGACGACGTAGAAGCATGACCGGGCAGTCCCCATGATTTTGTTCTCTTTGGGTTGCTGTAATGAATCCATTTTTCATCACCCGTAACGATGCGATGAAGAAAACCCTTCCTTTTTTGCCGCTGGAGCAGTTGTTCACAGACGAAAAAACGATGCTCAACGTCTCTTGGCTTCAAATCATAAGGAACCCAAGTTCCTTGTTTTTGAATCATTCCCAACGCATGCAATCACTTGGAAATGGCTTGGCGGGTAACTCCTAATGCTGAAGCAAACTCTTTTTGCGTTTGGCACGGATCCTCATCGAGCAATGCCTCCAATTCAGCGTCTTCGAAGGTTTTTGGCCTTCCTTCACACGAACGGTCGTCAACATCGAAATCACCGTCTTTGAAGCGACGGAACCAATCACGGCACGTTGTTTCACTTAGAGCAGCATCTCCGTAAACTTTTTGAAGTTCTCGATGCGCTTCAGCTGCCGTTTTCTTCGAATGAAAGAAGAAAAGCAACACTTCCCGCAAATGACGATTATTTGGCACATAATCAGACATTTTCACACAACCAAAAGTATATGACGCAAAAACAAAATCACTAATGTGTCAAAGCGGTTTGTTTACCATATGTCTAAGCTTGGTTCATGACGTTTTGGTTATGTCACAATCGACCAGCACTTACTACTGGAGCCATCTCTTGAAAAACAGCGGGAACTTAGTTGCGCACCTAATAGAATTCGCATATACGAGAGCATTAGTGAATTCACCTTTAAAATCTTCATTTTCAGAAGATCTTTCTTTTAGCGATTCTATATCAACTATTTTGCTTGTTGAAGGATTCTCTGACATTGCTATGATATACAGGGTTTTCAAAAAGTCTTCGAACGATAAAATATCTCGAAAACAATCAGTTTTTGGAAAAAATGTTTCAGGCAAAAGTTGTAAGGTTTAAAATGATCTATTTACTGATCTTATCAGTTTGACTTTGGCTAGCGTCAACAAGGTCAGGGCAAAGTTACCTTGAACTTTTCAAATAGAATGCCCTACTTTTTTTAGCATATTCTTATAACGTATTTCAAGAGCTTTCCAAAACACTACAACAAAGTATTTTTTTGTTAAGTACATCCCGAGTTATGAAGCTTCAAAGTTATAGTACCGTTGGCATTAGCATTACCCAAGGTGTGTCGCGTGGAGGTTGCACGATCGGATTTATACCTCTTATGTGTATGTGTGTGTGTGTGTGCATGCGCGCGCGTGTGTGTGCGTGTGTGTGTGTGTGCGTCTGCGTGTTATGTACCAGAAACAAGGACCCAACGGTTCGTCACTCCCGTAGTATTTCATGACTCCAAACCCTTTCTGTTGTGTAAAGTGACTTTATCTCATCTTTTAAGATGTGCAACATTTTTCAATTAATTAAATGTTCAAATTGTCTTCCTTCTACCATTTGACAATGAGCTAAACGTTCATAGAAATGAGCACAACGTTTATTTGTTTTAAAGTGATGAGAGATGCTTCCTGCATTATTCGATTGCTAAGGTCTTCCAAATTACGTGGTTTTGTCGCATAAACCGTTTTTGAGATATCCCCAAAGAAAAAAATCTAGAGGAGACAAATCAGGTGATCTAGCAGGCCACTCAATAGCACTCCTCCTACCTATCCATCGACCAGGAAAAGAACGATTCAGAAATTCTCGATTTCTTATTGCGTAATGAGGCGGTGCTCCATCTTGCTGGAACCAAACATGTTGCATGTCTGCGCCAAATTTATTTCGTATGTCGGGTATAATATGATCTCGCAATAAATTTTCATACTTTCCCGCATTCAAATTACCGTCTATCAAAAATGGACCAATAATACCGCGACTGCGAATTCCTGCCCAGATATTCAATTTTTGTGGATACTGTGTGCGAAGATCACGAGAAAACATCTCTCAACGTTATCTGGGGAGAGGACAGTGTCGTGAGCGTGGAGCTTCAGATAGCTCAGTGGTCTAGAGCAGTCGCCTGGCAAGCGAAAGACCCGAGTTCGATTCCCCGGTCTATAGCGACTACCACGCTCTCGATATTTTTCTCTCTTCGGAACGAAAATAAGATGCAGATCTCGAACGCACGGCGTCCCGTCAACACCTAGTACGCCCTCCTTCTTTCATGGTCACTCATCCAATGTGGATTTTCATCACTCCAGTATCTGCAATTGTGACGATTAACAGAACCGTTTATTTGAAACATAGCTTCGTCTGAAAAAACAATAAAATTCAAAAAGTTATCATCAACTCGATTCATCATTTCTTCACAAAATTGAATTCTTCTATCAAAATTATCTTCCATAAGTTCTTAAGTGATTGTAAGGATGATATTTATGCTTTTTTAAAATGTTAAGAATGCTACCTTGACTGATATCATCATGGGCTTCCGCTGTTCTTGGTACAGATGTATGAGAATTTTCTCGAAATGACAGCAAAACATCTAAACTCATATCATCATTTGTTGCGGATTTTAATCTTCCGCTACGAGGTCGGTCTTGAACTGTTCCAGTTTCCAAAAAATGTGTCACTGTATACTGAACAATAGACTTAGAAATAGGGTTGCGATCAGGATGTGTAGCATTGAAGAGATCAGCTACTTCTGATATGATCTAACACGGTCTCCAAACCCTCGATACATAAGCAGCAAAATCCTTTCTTTTTCGATCAACATTTTTCAGATAGAAATTTGAAATTGTAGAACGAAAAAAGAACAAAACAGATAAAGATCGAGACGCAAGCGAATACGATTAGTTTGTAGAATACACGGAGCAAGAAGCGTTTTCGAAAACCATCAGTATGCACGAGTTTTAGCTATAAGTCCTCATGGTGTCCGATGTTCACTAATGATCGCCTTTGATGTTAGTAGATCAATTTGCCAAAGTAAACTCCTTGCAAACTAAACTCTTAATAAGCTTTGTAGTTTACTAGTTCGTTAAAGTAGATTTTCTTAAGAGTTCCCTTACGAAAATAAAGTACTAAATATTACTGAAAAATTTACAGTGATTAATCACTGGCCAAATTATTACTGAAATACTGCTATCCCTATGAATGTTTAGTTCATTGTCAAATGGTGGAAGGAAGACAATTTGAACATTTAATTAATTGAAAAATGATGCACATGCACATCTTAAAAGATGAGATAAAGTCACTTTACACAACAGAAAGGATTTGGAGTCATGAAATACTACGGGAGTGATGAACCGTGGGGTCCTCGTTTCTGTTACATAACACGCAGACACACACACATATACACTCGCGCACACACACGCACATACACACGCACGCACGCACATACATACGCACGCACACATACACACGTACATACACACGAGTATAAATATTAACCTATGCGATTAATACATCACGTGATATATAGCACAAAAGCCATCTAGCGGAAAAATAATGGATTTCTTTTTCCCCAATCTAATATAATGTATGAAAAAATTTTTATACAGGGTGTTTGATAGCTGATCATGCAGACGAAAGTTGGAGATAGATTGGGTATAGCCGAGAAGAAAAGT